AAGCAATTAGCTAACGTTGGTACACAAAATGATTTTGTTTACCAACGTTTCAGAGAAAAAAATGGAATAAAGTTTTTATGGAATATCATGAAATATTCTCCGGAATGGTGGTTGCGGAATTTCATTATCCATGATGGCTTTCTTGGTATGTCCACACATTGTTGCGACACTGTTGTGAAGATGAGTTTGGATTTGAATTGCAGCAATGAGGGAATTCAATCGACCTCTCACTTCAGCCGGTTAGAAAATTTCAGTGCATACCAAAGCTGGCACTTCCCATTATAATGGGTCTCCCAATTCCTGTTCGAGTTCCTATTGAATTCGAACTCCTCCTGTTTAGGATCGCTTAATTGCGGAATAAGATGACACATTAAAAATGCATGTGGTGCAGTGACATGGTCTCATCAGGAAAGCAATCCCGCAGAAAGTTACTTAATTGTTATTAGATGATGAGATGAAAAAAGGATTTTGCTTCATTATCTTCACGTAGGTCAGTATCCGCTGTTGCAAGGAGGACAGTGGACAGAACCGCTTGAAACATCTCGCACATCTCCAAATGCACGTCCAACCTCATTTTGCATTCCCGACTCGCAACTTTCTGAGTATGACGGCGTGGACCAAGATGCTGCATCCACCGTATAGATTTAGCATTGCTCCATCGGATTATTGCCTCCACGGGCTCTCAAATAGCAGCTGCGAGAGAAAAATGTAAAAGGTACAATCACGCAAAAGCCGAATTCTCCAAATTCTCCAAGCCCCAGCTTCAATCATTCTGGGAGGCAAACGTCCAACCATTTTCAGTAAGAACATGCGTATCACTGTCCATGCGGTGGTACAGTGTTGATCAGTTGTTGCTTAGGAGAGTGAAACCTGAATAAACTAAAGTGTTAAATGTGGACAAGATTTATAGGTTGAGCCAATATTTCTTATCGATCCTCTTGCGATTTTCGGATAATCCCGAAATTCACTCGCCACTCAACAGATGCCCATTTTCAAAAATTCCAATTTATCACGTCGATGTAGAGAGGACTGCATAGAAACCTGAGTGAAAAAATGAAGCATTTGTTTATCCATGAAATAATCCTCAAAAAGCGTCACAAAGGCACTGTTCCTACCTTTGAATCGCAATGTCGCGAGCATAAATAACGGCCGACCTGCCCACCTCCAACAGTGCTACTTGTTTACTCTCATAGAGATTCAGTTACATTAGTAACCACTCTGCGGCCCATGAAAGTTCTTAGCTTTACGAGTCGGTAGCAAAATTTCCTGTGAGAAGAGTTTATGATAACCTTGCGCTTTATTATTTCCGAAGCAATATAATGGCGAATCAAAAGAGCCGTTTGTCATGAAGATGTCTTTGTTAGCAGATTCTTTCAAAGTCCTGTGAAGAAAACGAAATGAATATTTTTTTATTCAGCGTTCACTAGACTAGAAAACTCTTACTGGTTTGAGAAGCTAAACTTTGAAATTGCGCCTACAGCGATATTGGTGAGGCAAATTTTAGACTGGTGCTGTTAGGATTACGTATAAGAAAGTACTCGCTGTTGTTTGAACCTATAATCTTATCACTGAATTCTTAGAGGTTTGACTAACTTTCATCCACCTAGTGAAAAGGAATTATTGACCGTGTCGCTGCGTAACAAATCGCCATGGTTCATTTGGTAATTATTCTCAGTGTCATCGCGACCTCGCTGGTAAGTGTGCTAATGATAATTTAGGGCCACAGATTGTGAACATATGAGGATATAAAATTCATGAACAGTTGGAACAAACTATGACACTTGAAAATTTTGTTAGAAAAAGAATTCCCGGCATGATAACATAACATTGTATTCTGTTACAGGCCTGCGCTCCGAATTCCGGGACAGCTGGCGCTGGAGGAGGGGCAGCTGGCACTGCAGGAGCCGGTGCCGGTGGCACTGGAGGAGCCGGTGCCGGTGGCACTGGAGGAGCCGGTGCCGGTGGCACTGGGAGGTTAATA